TTGTTGTCGTCGTTGTTGTGGTCGTTGTTGTGGTCGTTGTTGTGGTCGTTGTTGTGGTCGTTGTTGTTATTGTCGTCCCCGGCGGACGTCGTCTTCTCCTTCAGCAGCGGCTTGTACGCGTCGAACGCCTCGCGCAGGCTGACGTCGGCCCGGTGCTCCGCGCCCGGGTCGAGCAGCGGCTGCCCGAACCGGCGGCAGAGCCAGATGCCCTGGGCGCCGGCGGCGCTGCGGCGGACGGAGCCGAGCATGAGCGGCTCCTCCACGAGCCAGTGCTCCGGCCGGCGCCACAGGAACGTCGCGGGGCTTTTCTGCAGCGACGCCGCCGCCGGCGCGTGCGGGTCCGCGTGGGCGGCGACAGCCGCCTGGTGGGGGGCCGTGTGGCCGTGCCGGACGTAGTGCATGGTGTGCGTGAGCGGATGGACCTCGTCGAGCAGGGCGTCGAAGCCGTGCGTGCAGAAGCCGCCGAAATGGAAGGTGATGATGACGTCGGCTTGCGGCTCGATGCCCTGCTGCAAGAGGATGCCGATCGGCCGCCACGGGTCGTAGGGCGGCACATGGCCCCAGTAGCCGCCGGGGGCGGCCCAGTTGCCGCTGGGCATCGTTATAGCTGCTTGCGAAAGAAACGGCGTTAGTGGAGTTGAGTTGGCGGTCCCCGAAAGCGCGAAGACGAATGCTTGCTGGTCCGGGGTTGGGGGACCGGGGGGGTGGGGAGAACGGGTGGAAGGGGGGGGGGGGGGGGTTGGGGAAAAGGGAGGTGAAGGAATGGTATCAAGGGGTGGGTGCTTCTATCCACTCACTATTGTTGAACAGACGAGTTGCAAGCCACTCCTCAACCAAATAGACCTGGTGCGCTTGCCATGGCGCGAAGTGCTTCCAAAAGATTGGCCAGGTGATATTCTGCATCAGGTAGCTCCCGCGGCGCCCGCCGCGCGGCGGCGTCGGCAGGCGACGCAGGACGCGCTCCGTGTACTCGGGGGCGGGCCGGCGCGACTGGATGTGCGAGACGATGTCGTACAGGTACATGGCGTGCGCGGCGCGGGTCAGCTCCGACGCGCGGGGCCGGCCCAGCGGCGGCTGCACCGCGGACGGCTCCTCAGACGCGTTCCGCGTCGACCTGTAGCCCGGGTGCAGGCGCTCGAGGTGCTCCTCCAGCATCAGGCGCGCCAGCTCCATCAACTTGTCGTGGAAGGCGACGATATCTAGCACGTTGCACAGCGCGACTCCGTCGTCCGGGTCGTTGTTGCTGTTGTTGTCCTTCTTCTTCTTGTTGACGCCTTGGTCGTCTACGTCTTCGTTGTGCTGCTGGGTCCCGTCATCCCTACCCTTCTCCTGTGCGGCCCGGACGGTCATACCGCTGGGGACGAAGCCCGAGCATGCCAGTGTGCGGTTTCCGCCAAGGTAGGTCCCGCAGAAGGCGGTGAAGCGGACGAGGTAGTCCGGGTTGAGCATGTCCAGCGGCGCGGCGAGCTGCGAGGACTTGGCCGCCTGGCGCGCGATGGCGATGGGCAGCAGGGGGGCCTGCAGGCGGCGGCGCAAGAACAGCATGGCAAGCCAGTGGTCGTTGTCCTTGATCAACTTGCACACGGCCTTGCAGCAGGGGCTCATGTTGGCCAGGTCGCGCGGCTCCATGTTAGCGAAGACCTGCAGCTGGACGTCCTCGGGCAGGTTCAGGAATGGGAAGATCGACGTGTCGGCCATCGTGGAAGATATGCCTGGCTGGTCGATATGGGGATTGGGTCTTTGACAAGCTGTCTCAGAGGTGTGTCGTAGGTAGTAGACAGATACGACACAGTTGCGTTCAGGTGATACACTATTTGGCAGTTCGCCCAGCGTTTCTAAGCACCCTCGGACACGTATTGCTGATTGTCTTTGCTGCCAGAAGAAGTGTGTGTTAGTTGGGGGGAAGTCGTGCAAGAAAGAGGAGCGGAGAGGGTAGCCGTTGATACGAGGTCTGTGTGATGTAGGAGGGAAGACAGCAACTCGACCAGAGCGGTTCGGTTTGTGTTTGGATAGGAAATTGCTCGAGACCTACCGATGTGAGAGCCTTGAAAAGCCTGTACGCGGTGCGTTTGAAGTTTGGTGAAGACCTTGTCGACGCTGTGGTGTTGCAAGATGCCAGTCGATTATGGGACGGAGGAGTGGCAGGCGAAACAGGACAGCGGGTGGAGAGCACCGTCGAACAAAATCCGAAGAAAGTATCCCAGCGCGCGCGGAGACGAAGACGAGTGTCGATGTATACCTTGGGAGCCGAAACAATCGTCTAGATGCTGATGATGGCAAGAGACGGAGGGGAACACGACGATACAGCCGAGTGTGTGGATCAAAACGCGTTGGGGAACAGGTAAAGTGGTAGTGTGACCAGGTAGGGTTTGCAGAAATTTATTGGGACGCGAGTAGAATCAAAACACAATGCAGTGCGGTGGGCTAATGATAGGCCCCGATGCCACCGGCTCAGTATCGGCAGCAAGGGCTAGCAGCATCGGACGAAAACAGCCAACAGTTTTTATGGGAGATAAGTTTCCCTCGTTGACTCGGATCACGCTGCCGCATTTCTATTTTCCTATAGGCATCATCTATACCGATGCAACACTCTCTTCTGAGTCCGTTGTACGAAAAAAACGCATCTATGAAATTATGCTCCAGCAGGGACTTTAAGATAGGAGGGCCGCAAGCCCTAAAGCTGATCCACGAGGATAATGTGTAATCCTCCTCTCGGCGTGGTAGATCATAGGGAGATTATCAGGTCTAGGTGTTTCTTGGGCAGGGCATGCTGCCTATTGCAAAGCATGGCAGATTGCAGATATATATTTACATCTGTGTCCCAGTGTAGCTGACACTCCCTCAAACCCTGGACATGGTATGTTGTATTGTTGCCTCGAGACTCAAGAGCTTTGAAATGGTATCCGACCACGCATGCTCCGTGGAGGCAGGGTATGGGAAGCCGTTTCAAACGGCGCACTGAGGAATATGCATAGAAAAGACTTGAGACAAGGGGACACCATAGCTGCGCAGCACAAGCCATGATACAATGATGGGAATAGAGAACAGTCGGGCAGTAATCTTGAGGAGAAAAAGGAAGAAGTATTTAGGAATCAAGCAGTTAACCCCTTTCTTTTAAGCCTCCGATGCCTGCACAGAAAAACTGGCTCATGCAAGCAAAGGCAGACATCAGACACCAAGGCAGAGCACATCCACAGTGTCATTTGGGGTCCACTGGCAATTTTCTGAAATCAGAGGTGCAGGACGGCTGCACAGCCGTGCAATTACGGGGCTACGGATCGGTGGACGGGCCGTTTGGCGGTCGGCAGTAGTCGGGGATCAGTCGCATCGGCCCCACTACCTAGCCCGGCCACCGGGAGGGCACCGGAGCTGGCAGGCCGGAGCGCCGGTTTGCTGCCAACTTGCTGCCAGTCGGCAAGCCGGGATCAGCTGACAGGGCAACAGTACCGGTACATGCTGATTCTGGACAGTATCGAGGTGGGAGGGCAACGCGGCCGTGGCAGTCTGCACTGGCGGCCCCAGCATCGTGGTGTGTATTATACCGCAGCCCACCGAGCACGTAGCCGGAACCTGGAGACGAGCTCCCGGGGCGCGAACGACTTTATAGTTCGACGAGGCAAGGTGCCTGGCAGAAGAGGATTTCTGACCATCGCATCGATGGACGGTGAAGCACCTGTACTTGGAGCAGACCTAATTACAGCACGGCTGAGCCGACCAGGTCGCCAGAGGGCATCGGTGCCATGGACTTACTGATCCTACGGGTCTGAATATCGACATGGCCTCCAGATACTCTCGGACCACAGAGGCCAAGGCGGGCGGGCTTCGTCCTGGAGCAGTGCCGACAGCCTGGGGAGGTTGCCGCCCTTGGAGCCCCGACAACGCCGATATACCAGTTGATGAGCTGCATCCGACCAGGCGTCTTCGCATCCCGGAACATGTGCGGGTAGCCGACAGGACGGCTGGCAAGGGCGAGGTATGGTCTAGCCTAGGAATGCCCGCATTCGGGCTTCTGCCTCGAGGAGTATCATCTGTTGTTTTGCAAATACTCTGCAGCCGGTGATGGCTTCCCCGTCCTCTTCTCCTGTTGCATACGAGTAGGCGTGGCTGACCGGCAGATCCCTCCCAGTACAACGCCGCCTTCGCCCAGCGTCATCTCGGCGTGGGCAAGGATTCAGGCCCTCCGCTCGAGCCGAGAATTTCGAAGTCGAGCTCCGGAGCCCGGTCGGCATTCATTCCCGTTGAGTCTCTCTGGCCAGGGTCGCGGTGAAGGCTCGACATGAATATCACGCCCGTCGGCCGTCTCTCCTCGATACCCCTGCCAGAGAAAAAGTCCCTCTCGGCTGCGAGTGTGCACTCCGAGCCCCGTGGAAAGAAGAGAGCACCGCCAACTCCCCTCGCCTCGGCTCGCCTGCCGGTGACGAAGCGCGCACATCTTACGGCCGCGTCGCGGTGCATATGCATGGCGTGCAGCTCCTTTCCAGGCGTACCGTAGCGGTACGCCGCGTCCGTGTCATTGTCCACTGGGGAGACTTGGCTGCTCGGTCAGCGGCGATGGGTGTTCCCCGGCTTGGTTCAGCGTGCACTGGTATGGTGTGTATCGCGAAAGGCTGGCGCTCTGCGGTCATAACGTTCCATACTCTCTGTCATTTTCTGATCGAGGTCGTTGCCCACTGCGATCCTGCTAGGCACGTCTTCTACAGCCGGCACAGTGATGTTTGGGTAGCCGACCCTCGCCAGTTCCAGGGCGATGCTGCGGCCCCAAGTCCCACCGTCGATATTTCTTAATGACATATTGCGTCAGTACGTATCCTAATGGAAGTGAGTTGAGAACATCTTCCTTCGGACTTCCCTCCTCCCCCGCCGGCTAGATTTGGTGTGGAATCGGTGAGATCTCAAGTGGCCAAGAATTACCACTGATCCACCTGCTGGCGTTGACGTTTTGGTGCATGTACCCCGATAAGAAAAACTTTGTCATCCTACATCTGTGTAGCTTGAGAATAGGGCGTGTAGCTCAGGGGTAGAGCGCTCGCTTTGCATCATCTGTCGTTTGCGAGAAGTCCAGGGTTCAAATCCCTGCTCGTCCAACTATTCCGTCGGTCCCAGTTGCCGGTCTCACCTTTTGCTTTTCGTAATTGTTTCACAGCCATGTTTACTTCCTTTTTGATAGTCTTTGAGCATGAATAGGTACATTCATTTAGAGCCGACTCTGCCGACACCTTCTTGTGAGTGCCCCATTATCATGTAGAGCAGGCTCCGTACTTTGGTATGTGAACTGTATGGCGGTTCCCAAAGTGCAAGCGAGTCTTGAACCTCCCACGCGGTTTGCTCCCGCCGTTCCGGGCCTGGCAGATGCGGGTTCCTGCAGCGACCTGGTGTGTTTCGCCGCACTGCATTACGACTATTTCATTCTTATTTTTATCCTGTAGTATCACATATCTCCAGCATCTTCATAGGCTTACGACGACTTTGCCAATATATCCCATATCTCGGCAAGGCGGTTACACCTCCCGGGTATACACCAGGCTCACCGGGTCTGCCACCGCATATACCTGCCGTACGGAGTAACAGGGACGCGAGGCAAGTTCTACAGCGAGTCTAATGAATTGGTTTAGGTCGTCCAATATTAGCCAGCACAGACTTCTTCGCCATGGCCGGGCTACCACGTGCTGGAAATGGCTTCCACACGTTGACAGTCACACCGATCTGATCAGAGACCAGGTCACGGTCGGACAACTCGCCATCGGTCATGCGTGCGTGTACCATGATATTCTCCAAGATCCAGATGCAGCGCAGTACTGCACGTGAGGCACCTTGGGCGGTGATAGGTAAGCTAGAAGCTACAAAGATACCTCGGTCAAGAGCTTTTAGGTGCATGAGATAGCGGCTCTCCCACCTATGCTACTACCCCGCGAGATCCCGCTTCACTGCATCCCCTGGCACAACCTGGACATCATAAGAACTACAGACGGTCCTGAGACGGTCCTCTGTACCTTCACTGCCGGGCGCCTTGAAGATCGAAGAAGGCCAATTGCCCACCTAGTTTCCTGCTGATCTCCTCCCCTCTCTCTTTGCTCCGCAAGTTCGAATCGAACGAGGCCTCTCTCCGCTGTAGCCCGCTGCGACAAACCATGGCCCCTCACCGGATCCAGGAAGACGAGGGCCCTGCCGACCTGGAGCAGGGTCCGGTCGACGTGCGCCCGCCCTCCCCGCCGCCCATGTCGGCCCGCCCGCCGCGGCTTCTCATCGTCGGCGCCGGGTCGCGCGGCCGCGTCTACGGCCGCTGCTGCCAGCAGTCGAGCAACGGCATCGTCGCCGCCGTGGCCGAGCCCGACAGCTTCAAGCGGGCCGAGTTCGGCCGCACCTTCATCTGGGGCGCGGGCCCGCCGCCGGCCGAGGGCGCCGCGTTCGCCGACTGGCGCGACTTCGCGGCCTGGGAGGCGCGCCGCCGCGAGCGCGCGCGCGCCGGCGAGCGGGACGTGCCCGAGGGCGTCGACGCCGCCTTCATCTGCGTGCGCGACGAGATGCACCACGACGTGCTGATGGCCCTCGCCCCGCTCGGCCTGCACATCATGTGCGAGAAGCCGCTCGCGACCACGCTCGGCGACTGCCTGGACATGTACCGCGCCATGGCCGGCCGCCAGGCCGACAGCGTGCTCTCCATCGGCCACGTCATGCGCTACTCGCCGCACAACATCATGCTGCGGAGGCTGCTGCTCGAGGACCGCGCCATCGGCGACGTCCTGAGCGTCATGCACACCGAGCCCGTCGGCTTCTGGCACTTCTCCCATAGCTACGTCCGCGGCAACTGGCGCAGGGAGTCGACCACGGCCCCCTCCCTGCTGACCAAGAGCTGCCACGACATCGACCTCATCCTGTGGCTGCTCTGCTCTCCCGCGCCGGGGTCGACCGAGCCGCCACACCTGCCCTCCTCGGTCTCGTCCACGGGCTCGCTCCAGTTCTTCAAGCAGAGCAGGAAACCAAAGGCGGCCGGCACCGCGACAAATTGCCTCAGCTGTCCGGCGGAGAAGGACTGTCTGTACTCCAGCAAGCGGATCTACGTCAGCCCGCGGCACCAGGGCCTCGAGACGGGCAACGTGCGGTGGCCCATCAGCGTGGTGCTCCCCGACATCGAGAGCTTCGGCGGCAACCGGGCCAAGGCGACGGCAGCACTGACTCAGGTCCTGTCCGAGGACTACGACGCGTCGACGCCGCAGGAGGTCATTGACGGCAAGAACTGGTGGGGCCGGTGTGTCTTCGAGTCCGACAACGACGTGTGCGACGAGCAGACGGTGACGATGACCTGGGACGAGGACCCGCTACCGTCCGCTGCCTCCTCCGCCTCCTCCGCCTCCTCCGCCCCGTCCCACGACGCGCTCGGCGGCCGCGGCGCGAAGCAGGCCACCTTCCACATGATCGCGCAGACGAAGCGGCAGTGCCAGCGGTACACGCACGTGCACGGGACGCGGGGCGAGCTCTACGCCGACTCGCAGACCATCACCGTCGAGGACTTTCGCACGGGCGAGACGCGCGTGCACCACCCGCGGCTCGAGTCGCTCGGCCACGGCGGCGGCGACCACGGGCTGGCGCGCAACTTCGTGCTCGCCGTCGACCGCGTCAAGAACGGCGGGTGGGCCGCGCCGCGCGCCCAGCGCGAGCTCGTCGGCTGCAGCCTCGAGGAGATCCTCCGCAGCCACGCCGTGGTGTTCGCGGCCGAGGAGGCGCGCCGCACCGGCCGCGCCGTGGACTGGAGGACCTGGTGGGCGGACAAGGCGGGCGACATCGGGAATGGGAGTGGAGCAAGGTGAGAGGCATGGTCACCCTGCCAAGGAAAGGGGGGCGGGAATTGTCTCTCGCGCTGGCCCGCGGTGAGTATTACGCTTCTTGGTGACTGGTCACCACTCGTCTAGAGAAAAAAACAAGCACTACATATCCCTTTACTTACCTAATACTGCGAATACGGCTCGTCTCGAGGAAAGCCGCATCAAGGCATGGAAATCTCATCTTAGCTTCCAAGTTACTCACTACGAGAAGGCTCGTCCGAGGCCGGGGCCCTCCTCACGGTCAACCGGGTCCGGCATCGAACTCGTGGTCGAGCGGCCACTGCGGCCCGCGGACGCGCCCGTGGCCCGGCCGCGTGAGGCCGAGCGATGTGAGGTCACTCTCGCGGTGGTACGGCTATGGTTCCCCACTCAGATTCGGATTGGAGCAGATGAGAGCAGATCCGGCCGGGTCCCGGGCTCGGGGCGCGTTCCACGAGGTGCCACAGGAAGGAGACAGAAAAGATCTCTCCTCGGCTCGATCCGAGGACATGCGAACGGGTGAGCGGGAAAAGAAAGGGGACAAGCCTTCCAATGCATTGCACCTCTCTTGCGGCCTGCGTAACGTTCCGGCGCCGTGGCATCGGCTTCCCGAGACACGACACGAGTGGCCTCCCGAGGAGGAGGACAGAGCCGTTGTCCAGGAGAGAGCGAGATGGGATGGTGTGGTGTGGTGTGATGTGGAAGTCCAATGGTCGGATTAAGATCAGAGGGACGTCGTACTACGCAGCCGCGTCACGATGGCGATCACGCCGCCTACGCTACCTGTAGCACGGCCTTGACCTCGGCGTGCGGGTCGCCGTGCTTGATCGCGTGCACGCGGCCTGTCTGTTTCGAGCGTCGCAAGCCAGTTGGTCAGTCACTTGGTCAGTCAGTCATCAAATAGTTCGGTCCAGTCCAGTTCAGTCCAGTACAGCGGCAGCACATCAGTCCACACACGTCTCCTTGGCTCGTTAGATATCTGCAGACTAGACAGAACACACGCAGTGTCTCGGGAAAGGAAGCCTTCCACATTCTCGATCTGACTCGAATCACAGCAATGGGCATCCTCGCGAGGACGAAGAGACACGTCCGCAAGGGGTGATATCCACCCCAAAGCGCAAGCCGAAGCCGCGACACGTACGTACCTAACCTACCACCCTGACGGGCACCTCCCGTGCGTCTCGTCGACGTCGGCACTGTTGCACCCACGCCCTCGTCATCGCCTCACCGCAACCGCAACCGCCATCGCACCCGCGCCGCCGTCCGGCCCCGGCAACGCTGGCGTGGATGACATCGAGTTATCCCCCCCCTCTCCCGTCGTCCCTGTCTCAGCCGCTTCTCCCCCCATCCGAGCCGGACTGGCACTCCCGGGCGCGCCAGCAGCCGCGTCAGCAGGCCGCCCCCCTAGGCCGACCTCGCCCGCGCTGCCGCTGGCCGCCGGCGCGCTGTCGCAGCTGTCCCGAGACTTACTTGCACGTCACGTTGTGTCGTCCGGGTGTCACCGGGCTTGACGCGCGCGCGTGGAAAGGGGGGTGGGCGGGTCGGCTTTTTCTTCCTGAGTGGGTTGTGAGGAGGAGGGTTGAGGGGGCAGGGGGGATATGGTGAGAGAGAAAAGGGGTTCGAGCCATGGTCATCCCACTATGGTGGAAGCCGGGAAGCCAGCCAGAAAAGGGGAAGGAGGGAGATGGAGAGTGGTAGCTTTCAGGAGTTACGCACTACGGTAGAAAGAAAACGCCCGCACCGCAATCGCCCGCGTCGCCGCGTCAAGGCACTCGAGCAAACGGTCCCGTCGACGGGATAAACTTGACCTCACGGGCCAGCCGGTGTGCCATGGGTGTTAGTCAGGTAGCCCATTGCCCCTTTCAACTATTTCGGGAGGAAGGGGGAGGGGGGGGGGGGGGGGGGGACATTAACGACATTTGCGCTGTGCTCGAGTCGGTATGTATCCTTCTGCCACATTCTTCCCTTGACATGCTCCATCCCTTTCCTGTGCTGCCCCCTTTACCTCTGGCTCTGCCCTGACACCTGGAACATTGTAGCCCAGCAGCAGATCCGCGCGGAGCAACACACGCAGTAGCAAAAAGAACCGATCAATTAATATTCTTACCGTACAATGTTGCTGCCGCTGTAAATAGCCTCGCGTCTTAGATCCCCGGCTCGGGATATAGATTTGAAGGTCCCACACGCGTGCGATATGGTTAGTAGAATAAATCGAGCTGTGTGGCCCATAACTTACCGACCACCTCCTTACCCCTAAGGTGACTGCACCGCTTATGAACTATCTA